GTGGAGAACTTCTGTTAAAAAGTTTCTTTGTTGGATCACATGACAACAAATGAATATTCCGGAGGAAGATAGACTTCTCATTCAGCAGTCAGGAGCAGCTCTCTTTTTGTCAGACACCTCCACCTCTTTGCTCGCCGTTCTGCCAATGACACCACAAGGGGATGATAACCACTCTGTAAAGGCAAGGTTGATATAATTATACGGACACAGCGACTGTGTACATTGTCCAAAGTCAGGTTATGCTAAACCTGAGTGGAAATCATTTCCAGAGGTGCTTCAGACTTGGTGCAGGTATAATTTGATGGCTGACAAACACTTGAATGAGATGTGTTGTGCCAGCAGGTTTCCATAATAAAAATTGACTTTGAAGAATGTATCAGTCGGGGGGGGGGGGGTAAATCTCTAATCAAATATTGACCAAATAATAGTGAGCTAATGTAGCCAATTAGCACAGACAGGCAGTTGTTTAACTGCTGACAAAGCCTCCTGCTCAAAAGCAAAAATTGAGATCAAATGATTTTTTTCCTCCCATTCAGTTGGCTTGTGAAGAAATGTGATACTTGTCAGCATTAAAAATGGGGGGGGGGAGAAAGCACTAAGTCCTGTCAGCATGACCTTTTAACAGTAGTTCAGTTTTTTGACAGAAATCCAAGAGGCAGATTTTTCTTTTCATTCTCTTTGGAATGGCTTGTAAATAGAAACTGAGGGAACAGTTTGATAGGCTTGTTTTCTTTCTTAGCAAGAGCTGGATTATGAGATTGTTAGATGAGAACATAAAGACCGGAATTAGAGAGAAACCAGAAGTCTATATCTGTCCTAGCACCTCTAGAATTCCCTATTTACTATGTTATGTTTTGTTTTATGCTTGGTTGGATGGGTGTTTTTAGTTTTGGCCAGAGTTAGGCAAGTTGTTTCCATCTGTTTCCACTTTATATATATTGGGCTCAGTGAAATGGCTGTTGGCTTTAGTTTTATATTTACCAGACAGATAGCTTATGAGAGTGTTATCTGTGTTCTCATCTTATTCTGGGCACGAAAGCGAGAAGGTGTATTTTCCAAAAACACTCCCTTCTTGAAATGTGCAGTGGAACATATTTAAAGGTTAGTTTTTTGAATGAAAAGGACCTGTTTGGACCGTAAACGACTGTCAAATCAATTATTGATGCTTAGCGCTGTGCATCTGTGGAGATATTTATCTTTAAGTAGCATATGAAACAGTGCAGTGATGTGTTACTTTTCTAAATTTGCCTACCTTTCAAATAAGCCATATGGTTTTCTCTCTCACATCGTTGGTTTTCAAAGGTGAGTCTAATCATTGCTGATTTATTATCAACACAGCCTGATCAGATGAAAACAGTCTGGCTTTAACACCGTCTTTGGTCTGAGGCACTTGATTCCAGTTTTTGTAATTTATGTCAACAAAAAGAGAGATCTTTAGGAATGTAAAAATATCTCTCATCTCTCCTTGGCTTGGAGTCTATAATCAAGCTGAAGCGTGCACATTCCAAAAACGAATTAATATCATGTGGGCTGTTTTTGTGTGGAAAACTCAACAGCTCAGCCCTGTCTAGAAGTATACAGCATGAAATGTGTGACGATTTATAATTAGGAGTGGGATGCCTATGGTTATCTCGGAAGAGCTTACTTGGAGGAAATGATTCAATTTCTATGCGTGCATTTGAAAAGTGTGCATTCGTCTTCGGCGGCTAAAAGAAATCAGTAGGCAGGAGAGTAACTGTGGAAACACCATTCTCCCTCCAGCCTGGTGTGGCACAATGCTTTGAAAATCCCTTTAAAATCTACCACACAGTGGACTCTTCAGGAGAGAGGAGAGGAGAGGAGAGGAGAGGAGAGGAGAGCTAACAGGTTTCGAGGCATCCCGGCTAAAAAGGAGAAAACCAAAGCATAATAATTACTCACTTTACTCACTCAATATGTTCCCATCTATCATACCTATCTAATGCTAAAACTGATAGAAGTCACATCCAGTAAAGTGACTATTGATCAGCAATCAATAACCTGTGTTTCTGGATGACCGTTACGTCTGGCAGCAAGCGTACAGCATGTTGTATCAATCCTCAGGCCGCTGCCGAACATTTCTGATCAACCCGCCTTCCAAACACAGAGAATCAATAAATCGATTGCATAAATATCTGAATTCATTATATCATATTGCAATCATCACCATCTTTTAAAATTCTCATCCACTGGACATCCAATAGGATGTTTTGTTTTTTGTTTTTTTAGGTGTGAGAATCTTGATTGACAAAGAGAAAGAGCTTGACACTCATAACTTGGTTTTGATGACATGTCAGTATTTGATGACATGATGTGCTTTACACTAGGGGGAGACAAAGACCCTTCGTAGATAGACAAGCATTGTGGACTACAGATTGCATGATTAATGATATCAGGTCATATTTTATGATGTCAAAATGACAAATAGCTGCAGCCACTTTAGGCAACTTTAAATAACTAACTACGGGCGAGTACAGATGAAAAAGTGTGCAGACTGCTTCATGAGTTGGGTCAGTTGAGTTATCAGATCTCTTTCTGTCATTCGTGACACTTTATGTGATTGGCTATTTACATTTATGAGCAAACAAAATGCACCCCAAATTAACAGATACAGATAGTCCACCTTCTTGGTTGGATGTGACTTGAAATGCTTGCTAGAGCACTGAGGCCTGGTGGTTTAATTGAAACGTATTTTAGTAGAATGTGGGCCGTATTACTGGGTTGTATCCTCAGGGAGGCACGTTGTAACAATAGAGCGGGAAAAGGGAGAGACACTGTGAGGCTGGGAGAAAGAGAGGGAGGAAGAGAGAGAGACAGGAGGGGGGGAAGGGTAGCAGAATTGCACTTTCACAATGCATCTCAAAGCCATAATGCCATATTGTTGCAGAGTTTATGGGATGTGTCGCACAATCAATAACCAATTTATGTGAACTTGATGGATGGATAAAGGGTGAACTGGTTACATTACATTGCCATTGAGACAATATACCTGACCTTGGTTTGTGGAGGCATTTAATCTCTTCTCAAATAGTCTATCAAGCGTTTTCACTTCCTCTTAAAGTCAAATATGCACAGTGGATGGTGTCTTCTTCATAGTTTGTGTGTATTAGGTAATAAAGCTAGAGTGTGTCTCAACTATCATATGGTAATATCTTTTCCAGGCAATCTGCCTTGCTACAGGCATGTCTGGGTTGCTATAACAACAGCGGCTGCTATATCTGTCACTGCTGTGGGTCACGACTAGCTAAAAGAGCAACGTACATCACATCCCTCTCAAACTGCCAGTCCTCATCTCCTTCTCTCTGCTGGTACCTTCACCTTTTTGCTGCCTGTCTTTGTCTCCTACAGCCTCTCTGGCCTTGCATATCTGTATCGGCTGAATAAAACTCTCTGCTATACTATGTTTGAGCTCTGTGGAGACTGACAATTAACAGCCACAGAGTGTACTTCAAGAAGAAACTAATCGAAAGTCGCTTTGTTAGCCACTTCTGTGCAGGGTTAATGAGAGCTGGAAACAGCAGAGGCGCTTATTGTGCTGGATGTAAAGCCGACTCCGTTCCTCTCGGCAACACCGCAGTCACAGAAAATAAGGAGAACTTAAGACAGAAGATGCTGAGCATCAATACTGCATTTTCTTCTCAGCAGCCTTTTAGAGTAAAAGTCCTCTTATTGCACTATTTAAATGGCATCTGAGCAATTACACTAAAATAGCGCTTTCAGAAACAAGAAAGAGCCAGAACACAAAATGTGGAATGCATTGCATTTAATAGTTCAAAAGCAGCTCACTCACACATATCTGTTAATAGACAGCATGGTATGACTGAATCACGATATATTAACTTCTACAGTCTTGTACTATAGAAAGAGGCACACATTTAGTCTCAATAGCAATGCTACTGTAGAACATCAGCAACAGTCAAAGCTTCAAGAATAAATTAGAGTAACTGTATGCAGTAAGACTCAACCTACTGAATGCACTTTGACATCAGTGCTGAACACGGATTAAAGATTTATACCGAGGAAAGTATAGGAAAGACCTAATACAGATCAACTCAAACAGTGTGACTTGATACAGTGTCATCTGTATATTTGTACAGCGTTGGCAGTAATCGCATTACATTGTGGTTTCATCGATGGATACAGCAAAACAGGGATAAATGCACATCCATACAGTATAAAAGCGGTGCAATCCAATTTCCTTAAAAAGACTTTTGCCTATTACAAATAATCTAAAATCTCAGCACGGTCTATAAAATTGTAAGAAAACAAAACAAACTAAACAAATACTACAGAGTCAACACAGAAGTTGTACCTAACAGCCTTGACAACAGTAGGACAGTTTGGGTCATATCTGTTTATATAGGTTATATAAATCACAGAGGCACTACTAACTACTAGGAAAATGTTTAGTAAGTCCACACACAGGCAGGTCCAAATGAAGCGTGGCTGTATTTATCTGATGATAAGTGCACAACACTAACATTTTTGTCCTTCAACCTGCTGTATTTGTGAAAGCACTTGATTTCAGATGCCTGGCACGAAGGTTAAATAAAAAAAGAAAAAAGAAAAAAAAAAGAATGAAAGGAAAACAAGGATAAAAATTGAGCACTTGGACATTTTTGACTGGCTCTTCACAAGACACAGTCGATACACAGGGGAGGTCAGTTGGCAGGATTCCCACGGCTGTCTGGGAGTAATGACACCACAGTGGCACAGATGAGGTTGTGGAATCTATGCCCGTCTCCGACCCATGACACTGACATCTCTTCATGATAGGTCAATACCTGGGGAAAGCAGAAGATAGGTCCCTCCTTATTCAACACGAAATGATGTATAACCTAAATAACCAGTGGAACGTCTGGAACAATGCATGAATGTAACAATAATCTAACTCAGATAAACAGCTACATCCCTTAGGATTATTAAAACTCAGGAGACCTGTATCATAAACATGCAAATGTCATACATTGTAGATTTACTACATCATTACTATGCAGACCAGTGCCAGGAGACTGTGCCTGGATTTAATATATCTGAAACTGTCATGTTCCCTTTTAACACCTTTCATACATATTGCATATAAAACCTTTAATGTGAGACAGGTCATACACTGAATGGAGAGTGAATACAAATGGAAGATTTGTGATTGGCTCATAATTCCAAAAATGGCAGGAATGAAAGCCCCATTGAGTCGGAACAAGCAGGTGGGAGAGGAAGCAACAGAACTCCACCACAGAGCTGCATGATTATGAGTAATATAGGTACAAACGATGAGTGAAAGAGAGAGACAGGGAGGATGATTTGATCAGGTTGAGAGAATCACATGTAAAATACCGTGTCAATGACAACCACTTTTATTCGGTAACAGGAGCAGCTGGATTGTCTTTCTGCTCAGAGGGAATGGCTAGGTAGTTTGTCCTGCGGGCAGATTGGTAGAAAAACAGAGGAGTGTCTAAAACCTGGTGATGTGGTATTCTCTCTCTGCACCATACACCACAGTTTAGTGCAACATGATAGAATTTTCATTATGTTGGAACAGCGAGTCTTTTGTGTATGAACATTAGTCTCTAATTCATGAATGTACACCCCCACAGGGAATACATTTTAAAAGATAAAAACCATCACTGTAATGTGAGCAGCGGGGAGAGACTGTGCGGTTTGCACATCAGGGAGACTTGACATGCTCATTTAGTATTTAATAGCAAACTTTCAGCTTGTTAAAAGCTGCAGTACCTTCACTAAATATGCTCTCAATTCCACAGAGCCTCATGGAAACTGTGTAGACGAAGCAAAATCCATGTAAGTGAAAAGATTTTTGTGGCTCTGTCAGCAAGTTTCAAATACAGCCTCATTTAGTTCTTTGACAGATTATCACACTTTGCTGCTGCTTTCAATCTTTGCCTTCAGCAATATGACTAATATGATCTGAAGCACTAATGCATCACAAAATGTAATCTCAAAATGCTCTACTTGTCGTACATATTCATTAAGTCTGGGTTGCTGAGGACTTGACCTCTACGCAGCCTTTTTTGAGTGGGTGAAGCTTCCTGCTGTGGGATGTGTTATCCTACAGGTCAGTAGTGGCTCTGAGGTTGCCACAACCCATTAACTCTTTCAGCTGTGGGGGCTGATGAAGTTTACAGTGTTACACACATTCAACCATGCTTAGCTTAAAGTGCACTCTTGATCTGTTCATGGGTCAGTAAACTTTATATAAACGCTGAGGGCAAAGAGGGAATATCTTTTATACTTAAAGAGGCAGAAGATGTCACATGGCTTAAATGGGCTGGTAAATGTAGCATCCTACAGCTACCATGACATATTTTTATTTACTAATTTATACATTTTATGACCCTTTAGTGTAACTGGCCATTAAAAAAACTGAAAAAAATTACAGTTTATTTAGGAAACTCCAAAATAATCCCAATTGAAGGGTAGTGTAAACCAAAGTAACCAGGCAATTAATAAATGAACACATTTAGAAGAAAATTCCTACACTTAAAAAAAAGAAAAAAAAGAAAGAAAAGTAAAAGTCTGGCAGCAAAGGTGCCAGAATTAATATGTAGCAAAATTTCGGATTATTGTAACATAGTAAAACTGTAAAAAGACTGAAAATACCAGCTGATACCTGGCCTATTGGTTTGATTGTTTGTTTTTTCAAAGTCAACGAGTTAATTAAAAAAAATCAAGAATTTTACTGGTATCATATATAATTTAACAAAATGGGAAAAATACATAAAATAACTTCTTTTTTTTTTTTAAATGCAATTACAATCTTTAAGAAAAATGTTAAATAAATACATATTTGAAAGTATACTTTCCCTTAAACTTTTACCACATTAGATAGTTCGTCTCATGAAACAAGAAATTATTTGAGTATAACAGACCCATAAACTAAGACTAAGAAAATTAAATCTTCCCCTTTGTTTCCTTCAACACTAACAAAAAGTTCTACTACATTTTATTGTCTCCAGTCCCTGTATATTTACTCCTCTGAATGCATCGATACTGTGAAGAACACTGACGGAGTCAGATTTGGGATCAGCATTCACTGTTTGCAACGTAACAATAACTGGATAAGCACATATGCCCTGTATTATCTGAGATTGTTCTCTTCGGGCTATAAATTGCCTGTACAAAGGTTGTCAAGCTGGATCGACTGGCTTAGTCAACACCATGAAAATCCAGTGGGAGCTGACTATACAGGTGCGTCTGGGCCTTTGACAGTACTGACAAAGTGACGCAAAAAGCCAGTTTCTGATGGAGCTGAAATTCCACCATGGATGTAAAAAGGTTGTTTAGAAGAAAAAAACAAAAAAACAAAAGAGCAGTCAGCAGTGCGAAGAATTATTCAGGCCTGTCAGGCAATCTAAGAGAAAAGACAGATTACTGTTGCAGGAGGGTTACAAACTGATGCAGTGGAGACTCAATTACCTGTCTGTATGTCTGTTTGTTTGCCAGCCTGATTCTTTCCCTTTCTCTCTGTCCTGCTCTCTTCTTGATTGCCTCCTAAATCTCTCTTGCCGATAAGTTTCTGAGATTTCAAATTGCTATTACGCAATAACCAGAAATTCAAGCACTTTCAATTATTCAGGCACACGTATCCCTATAACTGTTGTCTCGAATGTGAGCGGCTGCCTCGCTGTGTTTTGAGCCATAAAAAAAGAAGAGAACGTTAGTACACATATATATATATATATCTGGACATTTCACAACAAGTTAGTGTTCAGGACACACACTGTTTCAATTTGCTGTGCTGTCACTTTGCTCCTCACACTTATCTCTGTGTGGTGTGTCTGTCTGGGGATCAGTACATTTAGCTGTGTGAGACTCACGCGGTGTCCTGCGTCTGCTCATCAGACTTGGAGATCTTCCTGTAGCAGTAGACCATTTCTACCAGCAGCCAGAAGGTCAAGAACACCAGCAACACATACATCATGATCTCAGAGTAGATTGCTGTGGCGTCGTCAGTGGCTGTAGGGAACAAACAGCAGCAAGGGACATGTATTATTCAGTACGCATCCTTCCTCTGAATTTATTTTTTTTGTGTAGAAGGGGGCAGGAGAGCCTTTGATCGCACGTTTAAGGGAGTATGGTAAGCATATTCAACACTGCTGACCCACAATCGACTGTCATTCACGATGAGAAGGCAATATTTCTACAGTATACTTCAGCAGTTTGCTTTCATTTCACTGAACAACAAGTTCAACTCAGTATGTGCAATCATTATTACAATGTAGCTGAACATCAGGCAAAGTAAAATCATGTTTTCTGACGAGCATCCTGTTTGTAGAAACATTTAAAAATGACACACAAACTATGTTGCATACAGAATATTATGACCATATCTGCAGTATAATGGTATCAGAGCCTAAGTAGTTAGAGGTACCCTGTGGAGATTTCTCTTGGGTGTTTTTATATTCAGTGTTTGCAACCAAAATGCATCTGTATCTTTGAAATGTCACAAAAAAAAGCATATTGGGTTAATTTCCTTCCTCAGTTGTTTATAATCAAGTTTCCATGTTCAGTTTTCTTCTTCGAGCAGGACACGTATCACATGTGTTTACATGTGGGTGTGCACAACTGAGTTCACGTATAAATGCACAGAAACTCCACAGGGTACCTTTAAGTGTGAAATAAGATGGATTATCAAAGTCACAGTGGTTCTCAGAGCATGAAGTTTATACCAGTGTATGAGTCATACCTTCTAAATAATTCATTTATCACTTTTTATTTGATAAGGATAGCTTCATCATTTTTCAGGTCTGTTTTAAAACAATAATAACATTTGAACAATGGAACAGTCTTTGCTCGCTCTAATAGCTTCCTTCTCTCCACATTGGCCATTAAACTAATTCCTATCCGGCTTCCAGTGTAAGTGTTGGGGGACAAAATCCTCAGTAGATGTTCAATAAAAAAATGTTTAAGAAGTATCATATATACATATAGACTTTAATAGTACTCAAGTAAGTTGAATCAAATGAATATTTCAAGATGACAGTCTCATTAGTGCGCTTTGTGTTTCCACAGGCTGTGGATTCTAATTGAGCTGCAGTGCAAGAATAGTAACATAACAAGTAGTCTTGCCATTTTTTTGTACTAACTTTAAACCAAACAAGTTTATACCTACAGTCTACATCCGGTAAGCCACTGCATAAACAAGGACTTTGATTCTGAAAAGATAATGGCTTTGAATATGCTTTTGCACAAGTCATTTAAAATGGAAAAATGGTATAAAGTACCCTCCGAATGGCCAGTATGAACAAGAGGAAGGACAACAGCAAGCAAAAAAGGCAATTCTAATGTAGATATGTGCCTTTGTGTGATAAAAAAAAAAAAAGATATGAACTTATCCTCGCAATTATTTATTTATTTATTTATGTATTTTAATTTCTGGATCATTTTGAGCCACTGTGAACCAATGTGCCAGTGAATGTGTACCAAATTCCAGAAAGCCTGCTAAACCAGACAGCTGACAGACTTTTGTTATTTGATTCTGCAGAACCTGCAAATAGAGGCTATTAGTGTAATGTAATCCTTTAGATGGGAAAGCACAGATATGCTGGTCATGAGCCAATCCGTGCTACCACTGTTGACATCATTACCGTAACATGATACCCAGCAATGGTCAGTACACTGGCCGAAGGCTTTGTGAAATTTGATACCACCGTTGTATGAAATATGAAGGAGAGGCGTTTAAATATGTAAATAGTAAAAAAATAAATAAATAAAACTCTACTAAATATATTATATACATATATATATATATATTCTTTTTTTTGTTTTGAAAAGCTGTATTTCAGAGAATAATCACATTCAATCTGCACGCTTCTTTTTATGGATACAAGGCAACAACTTTGATACTTTTATATGCCTCTTACAGTTAACTATATACCATGTGCAAGCATATGTTGAAAACGTAAAGTTAAAGAAATGGGGAGAATTAAGTAGTTCCAAATATACATGTTGTATATTCGATCAAGGTGGAAAAATGATACATTCAGCAAGCCAAGCATTCAGGAAGCAGAATACATTACCCCTTATAATAGATAGCAAAGTAGCTGGTTTGAATTAACCCCTTCACTGACAACAGAAGAAAGCTTTGATGGACAATAAAGGCAGACAAAACAAAACACACAATTATTCCTCTTAAATCAGTACAATCACAGCAAAAGGGAGGAGGGGAAGGAAAGTGGTGCTGTTAGTGGCAGACCGGCTTCACATTGATGCATCACTTAGACAAAACAACGAGTCGGAAATATATAATAAATTGGAAAATCCACTTATCGCAGTCTGATAAACACTTTATGCAACATTTAATGAGGGGCATGTACAGCACAAAGAGAACACTCGGTACACAGAAGTCAAAACAGCACGCAGACTAGCGCTTCGCTTCTTGGTAAAATGTACGTTGCTGAAGAGAAATCCTCAGTTATGCTGTCCTGAGTCTGCAAGGCAAACTCTTTTCACTGAGCCACTTCTGAAATATGATTTAACATACACCAAAGCTGCTGATATTGTAAATATCAAAGTGCAGGAAAGAAGACTGCATACACACCAATGCTGGGTAGATATTTGGGAGATTTTTCAGTACAACTAACCCCCGACTGTTACTGGTTTTATAATAGTTTCCATTTATCACACTTATATTTTACGGTGCTGCTAGGAAGCCCAGCATTTTGCTAAACCCAAGCACAGAATGGAACAAAATACTATTGAAGAAAGTTACAATTAGCCGCACCTTTCTCTTTCACATTCAGCGTGATGTTCTTGATGTTGGAGAAGGAGGGAGTGAAGAAGCCAAACTCAAACTCACGAAGGACTTCGCACTCATAGACACCGCTGTCACTATAGTTGACGTTTAGGATCACGATGGAGACATCTTGCAAGTCTTGGCTCCCATTCCAGGCCAGACGGCCCTTAAACGGTCCTTCCACATCTACTACAGCTGAATTCTCATATCTGTATATCTGGGAAAAAAGGAAGAGACACATGTAAAATACATCAACACAAGTGTGGCCACAAACACAACATGACATCTCACGTGGCAGCAACCTACATGTGTTCTTCCAGATATGATGTTTTCTCCTGTTGTGGGTCTGTAGTACCAATCCACACGTGTCTTTGGTTTGATCTCTTCCCTCTTCATACAGGAGATGCAGGTTAACTTCATGGCTTTCCCCAGGACTGCTTCTGTGTCCGACGGGACATCGACACATACTGGCCTGCTTGAGTGGACTGGAGGAGGATGGAAAGAGATATAGCTCAGCAGTCAATACAAGTTCAAAGACAAAAAAAATACATATTTTTTTGAATAGAGTATATACTTGCTTGACCTTCTGTTTGACCTCTGTGTTTGAAACTGGGATCATTGTTAAACTGAGTTTAGGATGTGCAAGTACAAGAGGATTTTGGAACATTGCAGCTAGTTTGAAAGCCAATCATGGTCCAGTGTGCAATAACACCAAACATTAATAGACTTTTCAGTCAAATAGGAAACATCATCATTAAACTTTTACAATAAAAACAATAGTTGCATATTTATAGACTTTTTAGCAAGGGACTACATTTTAAATCATCTTAATATTAACATATGTTTTAGTGTTTTGTGTTATGTATAGTTTATCATCATCTACACTCTGAAAATGGAAAAGTATAAGCATTATGCAGCATTAGTTTTCCTTTTTAATTTTTGAAAGCACTCTTCAGTCCTGTTCACTGAACCAAACAGGTTGCTTTAGAGTGGGCCCAATGTAAATGTATGTGCATTTCAGGCTACAAGTTCTTATAGATGCAGCCATATGATTCATCATACAAATTCAAAATGTCCAGTAGAAATGCCACAAACTACCACAGACAGCAGCCGAATCGTCAGTCTTTTTCCAGTGACTGGTAGAATGTGCTGCAGTGACAGGCACAGCTTTTATCTGTGGTAATAAACCTCTGACCCAGTGTTTCTCATTGAGGTCATCACCTCGAGTGCTCTCCGTTTACATTATATCTAAGGTTGAGCCAGACGCAAAACTGGGCAAGGATTAAAAAGACATATATTCAATTATACAGCTCTGCGAGCAGTGGAGAGACTTGAGTCACAATAGTGATAGCAAATCCAAGATCATCCAGACCAGCGAGCACTAATGATGGCCTCTGCCCATTAGCATTTGCAGGCAGTGGGAGGAATAATTGGATGGCGGGAGGGCAGGAAGGGTGTAGAAGGAGAGCTGTAAAGTATTGTGGGCAAGCAAGAAAAAGAAATGATTGAAATATAGATGTTGGTGGAATAATAGGAGAAGGAGTGAATGCATATGTGTAGGAGAATAAGTCAGCAGATTATGAGCACAAAGGCTGACTTCTTGTATTTATGTGACTGTTGCAGTGTATGGCCCAGTGCTCTTATATAACCCAAAGCCCCCTGGGCAGACAGTGACAAGTGACAACATTGATTCTATCTCATCTTTTTTTTTTCACTCAGGGCTCATGCAAACACATGGAAATAGAGCAGAGGAACATGGAAACAGAGAGGAAGGAGACAAGAGAAAAAGGGAAAAGGAAAAGGAAAAGGAAAACAGTTCGACCCTGGTGTTCTCTGCTCAATATTTATTTCTCTTAAATGCTGACAACACTGAGCTGTGCTCTGCAGAAGGCAGCTCTGAAACTAGGTTTTGAGTTCACAGCCAGTTGGACGGTTCCCAGGACATTTTCCAAGGCCCGTGATTACTCATCTATGCATTTATGCAACTGATGGAATACGACATGCAGCAATCAGTCAGATTATCTTGCAGAAAAATGATACTCACCGACAAAAATCACAAGTACCAAAGTTTGCAGATGAACTCTGTACTGAGTTACCATATTCAGCTCTTTGTGGAGCCGCAGGTGGAGTGTCTCTTTAACTTTTGTCTCAAGTTGTCTTCACACCAGGTCTGGGGGAATAAAACGGAGTTGCTGAGAGGACTTCAGGACCACGGACAGCGCCGCTCCTCGGCAGACGAGGTCAGGTAACTTCACCTCTTCACGACTGGAAATCCAAACCACAATGTCTGCCAGAAGATTTCAAGCTTAAAAAAAAAAAAAATCCCTAAAAAAAAAAAAAAGCAGGAGTTGCTGGATTGAGTTTTCTATTGTTGCGCTCTCAGCTATAAATCTAAATCTTCCAACAAGCCTCCATCTACACGCAAAGAACTAACTTCCCTCCACTCGGAGAACAAAAACAAGTCCAAGATGCGACAAAGCTACAAGAGTGACAGTTTCCACTATCACAACCGCTGTTCTTCACTCCGAATCCATCCAGAAAATCTTTTTTTTAAAGCGTCAAGAAGGGAACCTGTGGATTCTCAAAAGCCGATTCAGTCACTTACTATTGCGAGATCCGGAGTCCTGTTCACACACTAACCAGCAAAAAAGAAAGAAAGAACAAAAAACAACAACAACCCCTTCTTCTATTTCACCCCTCAAAGAATCACACTATTGATTGTTTGAAGTCTGTTTTCCTCCATTAAGGATGACTGATGACATTTCCCAGTCGCGGCTCACTGCCTTTGTTTTTCAGCAGTCACTTAGCGCTGGCAGGAGCAGAGGCTTTGATACGCATGCGTGAGTCACTCCCTCCTACACTACAATGTGCATGAGCATATTATTGTCATTAGGGTAGGCCTTAAACCGTCTCATCGTGCGAGCCGGTTTGTCTTTTTCTTCTCTTGCTGGCTGCAGGAGCTAAACAAACAAAAACATGTCATTTTATTGCGTGTGAATGTAAAAAACAAATGCAAATCAGTTTTATTAAAGCTTAAAAAAAGAGGCAGGAGACAGAGCCGCCTTTGTCATGTGTTATATAATCTTGTTTAGTAGCTGTAAGCAGAGCTCTTTCTCAGGGCATTTTATTTGTTACACATCGCTACTTGCATTATTCCTGTTTGCCGAGCTTCCCCCGACAACAACAGGGCTGATGTTAAGTGGATTCAAGTCTTTGAGTAGTATAAAATATTGTCGCCACGGTTTGGTTGCAGGAATACAGGAAAGAAGCTTTGATGTGTGCACGTACTGTAAGCAATATGCAAGCATATTTACATGTTTCCACACATAAAACCATAAAACCCACATTAAGGTTTTAAGCATGCTGCTATTAGTAACCTGCATCTGTATTTTTGAAGTCATATGGAAGCTAAGCACATAAACACACACATTTAGATCTTTGGCTTACTGCAGCAATGAAACTGATAAAAAAAAAATACTGTGCAGGACACAACCCACTAATTTAATGATCTTTCATCCTCTGGAGCTTAGCTTTAAAAGGTCACGATCTTTTCAGTGATATGCTGTCTATATTTGGGTACAAACTCTACGTGCTTCATGACTACATTTCAGTGAACTCCCTTTTTTTTTTTTGCTTATCTTCTAACTCCCTTACTTTAATCATTGATTTGGTTAACACTGCTAAACACAAGGAGTAATGAAGGATCGTTTTTATCTAATTCAGTTACAGTAATTCAGAGAGAAAAATATCTTGTTCCACTCCATCACACCAACACAACCTGCAGCAGAGAAGACTGAAGTGCCTGCTTAACAGTGCAATTATATTACTTTTCCCCCCTCTCTTTATGAAAACTGCAGTGATTTGACTCTATTATGAGAGCTAAAAGATGTGATGATGACGCAGGGGCGCGTTATCGTCTGCGTTTTTCTGATTTATAGACCTGCATTGCATCTAATATGAACACCAGCAGGCTCACATTGACAGATTGATGAGTGTACAGTGTGCTTTCTTGTGGAAAATCAATTACCAGCGTTCATCTATAGGGTACTTATTTCTCTCTCCATTATTCACAAAAACACTATTTTTTCAGTTTTTTGCATACAAATAACCCATGAAAGACTCTGTTTGTTACTCTGTTTGGTGTACATGTCACAAAGTAAATCTTGCCTTTTATCCCAATTGGTTCAAAGACTCCCACCAAGAAATCCGAATCACTGTTATTATAGTCAAATCTGGAAATAAACACACAGAAAAAAATGTTTGAGAGGAGACTGTGACACAGCGGCAGGCCTCAAAGAGCCACAATAATCTCACTGTGACATCACAATATTTAATCTTGCAGCCGTTGCATCTGGAAAAACGAGAGGATTACTCAGAAGGAGGATAGGAATCAAGCGTTTGAGATTTTCAGCGTTATTCTTCTGTTTTAGACTTGCACAAGCGGGAAAAGAATAGCTCTACATTTCAGTTTTGAATTTCTTCTATATATAAACATGTAAAAATCTGTCAGAAAAAATGAGTGCACCTTTACCCCATGCTGTCATAGAGCTGTAAGATGGTGACAAACGTTCAAAGAGCGAATCAACAGGTTTTCGCGAAAATGCTTAAGACTGAGCAACACAAATTCTAATGTAACAAGAAGAGCAAAAAGGCAGATGAGTGCACTCTTGTGTTGCTGTCAGCATCATCAGTAGGCCGGCACAGTGAGAAGCAGACTAAATATGGCAGGCCCGGTTGAACCACATCCTGCAGATAAGGAAACCATAGCAACAGTAATGCAGTGCCATGGTGACTACAGGAGGCCTGCTTAGCGACAGTGACTCAGGAAGGCAACAGGAAGCCTCAAACCCAGCTTTCGATTTTTTTTATTTTTTTTTGTGGCATCTGGACTTTTTTTTCTACAAAAAGCAAAGAAAGGGGTGAATATGAAATGTGCTTTTTTTCTCTGTGTTCAGGCGTAAGGGCTTTCACCGCAGGATGCACTCATGTGATGAATACAACACAAAAACTTCAAAACAAGGAAAAAAAAAAAAAAAAGCAAAATGACTGTTTTGGGTGGTGAAATTTAAACACATCATTAACCAGGAGCTGAGTAATTGAAGTGACTGAATGTATAAATGAGTGGGCTAGATGGTGTGTGTGTGTGTGTTTGCCTATGTGTGTACTATAGAGGTGTGGGTGTGTTTGTTTGTTAGCAGGGCTCCTCGAGGATGCACTGTAAAGAGCAGATTTCTAGGGATTTGGAAGGATTTCAAGATTATAACATGATTACAGCAGACAGCCATGGATGAAACATGTCGGATATTGAGATGTAAATCTCATGTGCTACTTGAGAGAAAAACCTCTTAATGCTGCGATTTGGAGAGTACTCATCGTAAATCTTTACTCAAATGTCTATCATTTTATTCATTTGTGATGTATCTGTGGGTTGACTGTATCTGTATGTTTTGCAGTCTATCACTCTTATGCAACCGGAAATTACTTGAATGAATTCCATACAAAAAAAGAAAGAAGTGGAATCAAAGTAGCTTGCATGCATCTGAGCAGTTTTTCTGTATTCAATTAGATCAAAACACAACTACACATGCGCATGTTCTATATATACTTAGATAAACATCAGACCTTTCTAAAAATAACCCATGTGTTGATCTAAACAATTAGAGCAAGCATAATGTTGCGCTACTGCACATGGCTCCACAAAGAGTAACACACACACACACACACACACGTATGACTCCAGAGCAGCTCAGCACAGAGTTTATGTGATGACATGTCTGGCTGTGAGTTAGACGTGCAGGCCAGATCAGTGGCGTAGCAGCTAATCTAATTGATAAGGCATATAATCTCAGGGAGTCACTGAACTACACCCCTCCGATGCACAAACACACACACACATACCGCTACAGGGCAATGCCAAATTCAACCAGGGGGACTTGGCACAGAGCTCTAAGCTAACACTGATAGTAAGTGAAGACTTGTTCCATCTGACCTTCTGATTTGGCTCACAGCCCCCTGTAGGAATAGTGACTTTCTATTAAAAGACCCAGAACCCTTATGCGTCAGATAAACCACTGAGCCAGAAGAAGGCAGCAGTCGGGCAACATAGACTTCTCTTCTGGAGCAGATCAAAGTGGATTTCGAGTTTTGTTTCACTTTTGGCCTGTTGGTTATAGAGAAAATGAAAAAGATGTTAGGGAAAAAAGGTTAGACAAGTTACATGTGTAAAAGATGGAGAAAAAAAAGGGGAGGAGGGGATTATTGTAGTTTAATATTAAATATTCATGAAAACATATGGGTTGTCACCTCTACACAAGGGACAAGCTGCTGTGATCGCCAAAAAAAGCACCGGTGTCACCTTGTGTTCAATCAGCTGAAGTTTATTGTCTTAATTAGAATATGGTAATGAACAGACACTGTCTGAGAGGTCAGCAATAACTCCTGATGAAGAAACTATTTGGACAAGATGACAGACTGTGTCACGCCACTGCTTGCTGTCAGAAAATATATCTGTCTGGGATCAAAGATAATTAAAAAGAACACAGCTGAATTGTTTTAAATCTGGTGCATATTAAGACGGAGGTCACTCAGATCGTCCCTCAACAACAAGACAGGATATTAGACTGCACAGACATAACCAAAGCAGTTCAGGCTGAGCACTGAAGAGCACATAAAGGCAGAAGATGTTTGACAAAACCACATCAAAAACAAACATTTTTCAGCAGTTATCTATATTCAGATTCACATTGCGATCGTTAGGCACCCACATGCCATCAGTATCCGTTTGTCCCATTGTATTTTCAATTGTGATCTGACTGTTTAGCTCCTGTTTCCGTGGGACATTAGGCTGGAGCCGATCTCGACTCTCTGGCATCTGGCAGTCCAGTAATGTTTCAGGGTTGTTGCTCTGGACAGTGTCACTCCTCTGCTGATCAGAAATATGACTCTCCAGTTTATAGTTACCAAGACCTCTGCTCTCTACAGTTGGTTGGCTGTGACTCTGGCGAGCTGAAATACTGTTCCACTGTTGGTCTTCAGCGGGACCGCAGCCATCTACACCAGGATAATGCTCTCCTTCCTCCTGCTGGGTGCGGCTGCTGTCTGTTTGCATATGGCCTCTTGTCCTGTCTTTCGACTTGCTGTCATGCTGCTGGCACTGTCGGATGTGGCCTAATGTGATTTGGAGCTCATTGAGGCGCTGTGATACATAGCGTCTCTTCAGTTCCAGCAGGATTGTTCCATTACGACTAAGGCTTGGCATGCTTGTTGGTGTTTCCCTCTGCAAAAGAACAGATCATCGGCTATGTATTGAAGATGATGTGCGATGAAATATATAAATGAATCCATGTATATAGTCTGAGAAAATAATGCAAATGCGCACAACACATTCATGCATACTGATTTGCACATTTTTCTTTATGCCTGACTGGAAGCGAATGAAAATCAGCATGAAGTGATTTGTTTGATTGATTTGCCACTATTCATGAAAATGCATCAATGTAATATGTCACTGTGAGATGCTATAACATTGAATATTGAGGAAGTCAAAACAAATATTTCACCGTGCTTAAATTTTGCAGGGAAAACATAAAGATAATTTCTGAGCTCTTCACAACAGAATTCAATTGGCACACAGACAACTTCTTCGGATTATTTCATTATATATGTGCTGTATATGTTCCAGCTAATTACCGCAGAATGGTTTCCAGCACTGCTCCTCCTCTCCTTTAGCCATGTGCTCATTTCAGCTCTCTTCTGTATCTGCACACTCAGCAGCAGGAAAGACTCATTCATGCGGTCAATTTCTTCTTCTACACACGACATCTGAAACAGAGGAAACGGTGATGTAACGTGTGGTTTTTGGTTCATCCAAGCGATTATCCTCTAATAGGAAAATTGCCAGGGATTTGTCACAGTGATACCTGCATCGGTGTTCCTTTTGGTGACAAACCTGCAGAAATTAAAGAAGAGGTTTGATTCCTCGGAGTTAAAAACTTTGGTAAATTCCTTAATAGAATCGATACTAATGGAAAAGACAATAATTGAAACATAAAGCAATATACAACAATTGCATTTCTGGCAAAAGTACAACCTCACATTGCAGTCAGAATAGCTTCAGAGCTCATTGGCACACTGTCATTACAGTCATAAACGCTGTGTACAAGGATATTGGACCGCTCTTCTGGAACAAAAGCTCTTTGGGTGATTAAGGAGGTAAAAATTGAATTTTCTCTGCAGGACTTCCTACAATAGTTTAACAATGTTTATATCTCGTGAACAGGGAGGAACGGAGAAACAGCTTCAGTCTGAAATCACAAATGGATTTAGTCATTAGTGGTTAGGGGTGCTGTAAAAAGTGGAAGTCCTTAAGTTTCACCAGATAGTTGCTGATGCTATTAAGGCTCCATAACCAAAAATAAAGGTTTGAAAGCATCAAACACAACCGTACACAGGGAAAAAAAAAGTATACCAGACTGATACTGAAACCTCACTAGATTTAATTAATCAAGAGTCAAAAGTTAGCATTCTGTACACAAGGTTAAGTCATTTTGAATATTGACTATGAACACTATTAACATAATTTTAATTTTTTTTCATTAACTTAATTTAGCAGCTCTGGAGCCACTAAATATTGTTAATGTTGATTATTAGGCCGCTTTCTTCATTGCTGATGTAAATTTGTCACCATTGCCACATTTATAGCGCTGCAGAGACAGATGCATTGTGTGACATTTCACTGATTTTGCATATTTTATAACTTGCCTTGATGTTCAAAGAATCGGATTTTCACATTTTTGAGACTTTTTTACGCTTTGGGACTTTGAGTGTTAATGACTAAAATGATAAATGGAAACATAAACCATAGATATTTATCAACAGTGAAGGCAAAACTAACCACTCTTTGATATTGATAATGACCTTTATAGAACCATTTTGGTAAGCACAAAACTAGTAGTTGAAATGTTATCAAAAAACTGCAAATTGCTTCAGTTTATCTTTTTTAATGGAAAAAAGGAAGCTTTGAAGGAGCTGCTTATATAACTGAATGTAACAGCTGGTGCAATACTTCATCATTACCTAGGTGGGTCGATTTTATCTGATGCTATCTTTAAAAAATATTGCCATACACTTGGGTTATTTGGACAACAGCTACAATTTTAAGTGGTGATGTACTTTCTTTGAACACTAATGCAACTACATGTTTCTATAAAGTCAATACTTGTCATACCTGTCTGGATGTCTTGAGTTGAACCTTGTTTGAGGTTAGAGATGAGCTGCTCCAACTTGAAATATTTATATTTCCCGAGTCTAAATTAGAAGAAGGGGAGAAACACTATCAACTATAATTGTTCTTTTACTTGAAATGCATGCTTTACTCTGCTGTAGGTTTTATCTTTCTCACCAACCTGCTGGCTAATAGGTGCTCAGTGTAGCGTGCCTCAGTGGGAACTCTAATGTTGAGAAACTCCTCTGCTAATGTGCCATGCCGTCCCTCTGAAGCATTGAAATTTGACTGTTAAAAGAAGGCATAAAAAGTTATCTGCCCCCACTCGTTGCGGTTTGATCATGATGAGTGGGGTTTATACAGCACTTACACACCTCTGCTGTGCTCCGTGTGAAAGAAACGCTGAACAGCTGAAGGCTTACAGCTGAAATGGCCTCATGGAGAGCTTGCATAAAGCTCTGGGGGTTTGATCCTGGATAAAAAATAAAAACAAATATCATATTGTTTCTAAAGAAGATTACATACTGTGTGCTTTCAAAGATGATTGCCAAGGCTATTATACTGCACTGGATATGACTGCTGCAGAACCAGGACACAGGATTGGCTTTCAGGACTGTCTTCTATTAGATCTTTCCGATTACCTGATGCTATGTGAGCCATAGACTGCAGGATGATAGCAATGAAATGTCCCACGTGCTGAAGCTTCTCCTCTGACAGATAAAGGATTTGATTGGTTGCATCAAAGTAAAAGTCCCCCGAGCAATGTGCCAGTAGACTCTCATTAGAAGAAGATGAAGAAAAGGGGATTGACTTTGCCAGTAGCAGAAGCACATTAGGAAACATGGGGCGGTTTGAGAGCAGTTGCATGACCTGACAACCAAACAGGAAAATGGCAGAGTGTTGGGGTGATAGGTTGTCTAGTGCAGTCGGGACGAGTTGCCTGTCACGGCTCCCCTGGGCAGAATTCTCTGGAGGTGCAAAAACAGACAATGCTGCATTTTAGCCTTCAAGATTTTAGGATCTAGTGAAATGTGGTGCTACATTCATTGTGAGTTCAGTTTCTCTTTAGGAATTGAGACATTTTATCATATCTCTGTACCATTGAGGAGATGATTTGGCTCATCTGTTGTGAGGTTCTGTAAAGACTGCTGGATCTCCTGCAGGGTTTTGAATAGAGGGGATATGGTGACCAGCTTGGACAGGTCGTGGTCACTTAGACAAGGAGCTGTGCTCTGTACATGAACTGGGGAAGAGGAAAATAAACATATTTGCAGAAATATCCTAATGTTTTCAAAAATGAAATAATCCATAATGCATATTAAGATTTCTTCCTCACCTGGCTCATGGGAAAGAGCTCTTGTTTTGGTCATATTCGCTGATGAAAACTGTGGATATTTGATATAGGAAATGATTCTCTACTTATTTCAATATACACCACAAACAGAACTAATGCCACCACAGTACCTGCGTATAACACATGTTGCCGTCACTTGGTTGCATGTATCCAGCTTGCGGGTCACACTCCCTGGTATCATGAGAACCTGTATGACAGTAAGGATCCTGGATCTGCCAAGCTTCTCCTGTCAGCCGGAATAGCAGAGCTTCCACTGACCTGAGAACAGCTCCCAGTAACGATACAGAAGCCTCAGCTTGGATAACAGGGATGTTCAGTTCCATGCAAGGAATAGTTTACAGAAAAGCACATTAATGAAGTGTGTGATAGACATTTCAGCCCTTCAAAGCATAACAGTGGACTATTTTAGGAGTTTGAGCTCATAAATACAAAGGATTAGCCCACATGATCAAACATAATGGGAAATACTGGGCTTATTCACCGCCTTGCTTAGAGTTTAATACCACTCTCACATCTGCGCTTTAAATAAAAAAGCTGGAGTCAGCAGCTAGTTAGCTTAGCTTAGCAAAAAGACTTGAAGTCAGCAGATCCACTCAAAATGACAAGAGATCTTGCTCTCAGCAAAATGGCTACTACTCCTTTAGTCATCTTTGTTTTATGATTAGACAGGGTTATCTTTTTTTCTTCATAGAAGATAATATTTTCTCTGTCCACTCACTAAATCACTAATCAAATACAAATCATTATTTATTTTTACCTTGTGTATCTCTCTCCCCCACGCTGCTGTTTGATGGTTTATCCTTCATCACATTATGGATGAGTATCTCTTTAAGGAGGCACAGTTTTTTATTATCCATATTCTCGAAGACATTCTGAAAGAAAAGTATACATATTTTGTTCAGTTGATTTAAATATTGCATATCTGTTTGGCGAAATGTCCAGGGTGTCCCCTGCCTTCGCCCAAAGTCGGCTGGGATAGGCTCCAGATGATGGATGGATATCTGTTTGGCAATTCTTTAGCGAAAGAGTCACTGCAGCAACTTTCTAATAAGGCAACATTACAAAGGGTCTATGAGCTGTATTGGATTTATTATTGGTTAATATTCACATTATTTTTTATTATTCAACTTGTGTGTTTCTGTTTTTATCTTGTGAACTGTAAAATGACTTTGAGTATCTTAAAAAGTGCTATGCAAATAAAATGTATTATTATTATTATTAGTAGTAGTAGTAGTAGTAGTAGTATTTACTAATGTATCCTATATTAGTGATAGCTATAATTTGGTTATACGCCATTAATGAGAGCAACCTTTAGGTTATCGGGTTGTTGGATATCCCTGTCAAGCGTGACACTTTTGATGGACTGTTTGACTACCTGCCCTCTGGAAACAGCATGTAGGACATTTGGAGCAAAATCCATTCCTAAACTATTTTAATGACCGTACTAGCAAAAAAGAGAAGCAGTTTCTTGCTGGATGAGGATTTATAACACCCTAGTAAGCCAAAAGTTGTTGTCATTAACGACCTCATGTCTTCAGTATTTGTCGTATAGTAAAACTCACCTTGAGTGATTCAGTCTGTTGACAAATGTTTCGATAAAACTCCTGTATGTCTTTGCGGTGTCTGGCCAGTTGCGAGGCTATGTGAAGGTTCTGGTCCTCGAGTTTGTCATACAGAGTCTTCACATTGAACTCCTCCAAATCACAGCACCTCGACACACTTCCTAAATGGGACCAGTAAATGTCAGGAATAAGTGAGTTCCAAATGGGCTGAAAAATGACAGTGTGTGGAGGGGGTCTTATCATATCATCCTACAGATTACTACAGAGTACTCACGATGCATGGCTGCACCTTGAAATCATAAGCTCCCCTAACGTGGCTCCATAATAATTCAATGGAGTCTCTGTAGCTTTAGCGATAACAGCACAAGTCATTAGAGTTTGATATTAGCCATTATTTTCTTTATCATCAATCTAATGGGGAATAGGCAGTTAGCTGCTCGCTAGTCATGCGTGATGGTTTTATAATGACTGGACCAATAGACATTTAAACGCCCTATCATGCTGCATGAATAATGCAATAAGTACTAACTGGGAAACATTAAAGTCAACTCCACCTTTTAGGCTTTTCAAACAGTATCAGAGACCACAAAGATACAAAGACAAATGTATTGAAAGCTTGCCAGATAGAAAAGAGTTGCCAAAGTGCTTCTGAGTAAACTTTTCTGGAAGTATTTGCAATGTGTGGTTATTGACCCGCTTATTAAAGTGCTGCAGAGAATAAAATAATAAAATAAAAAAAAGCAATGATTTATTTTACTGAACGTAGCCAAGACATGGTTGCAATTGGTCACAAAAGATAATTGCACTTTAGGCTGCTATATGCTATATGCTCATTCTTAATTGTATATTCTTCCTACTGGCTCTTTTTGTAAATATATTTATCTATTTTTATTTGTCTTATCTTATATTTGTATTTTGCACCACTGGAGTTGTCTTTTAATTCGATTGTACTTTGTGTATGATGACAATAGAAGCATTCTATTCTATTCTATTCTATTCTATTCTATTCTATTCTATTCTATTCTATTCTATTCTATTCTATAAAACTCTATGTACAGTTCACAATTTTTCTATTCTGAGTATATAACTGTGAATAGCGTCACGTAATTCTGGTAATCTTAGTGTTTACCAAGCTATATTTCACAAAAATCACTATGTACCACTATTCTGACTGGTACCATCACAAAGTGCTATTATATTTTAAAGTTTAGGAGCGTTTCTAGAAATGATCTACATCACAGAGTAATAATCGGAGAGCTCACCTCCTTTTGAAACAGCAGGCTCCTCTGCTTCTGCTCCTTCTCCTACACCTCTACTACCAAGGAGGCCACCCTGACTTGGGACAACTATGCTGAAATACAAATACAAAGCCACAACATTGTTCTGTGTATGTTTTTTCACACATGTAAATGTGCTGTGCAATTTTACATTGTCCATAGCAAGATGTTCTCTGTTACATTCTGCACAAAACATCAGACATCAGTGAGTTTAAATACAAAATGCAACATCAGCCTCCCCGTCACAAAAGCACACCTTTCTCTGCTGCAAACACACTCCACCGGACAGAAGGGCTCCCCAAGGCTGCGCCACTTTGGCTTTATTCTCCACTGGGAGACAAGCTTTGCCTTGCCGGGTCGCAGAACGAGAACTGTGGTGGTCACAATTATGACCACAACCAACAGCAGACTCAGGATCCCTGCACACAGTCAGTACTGTATCATGACAAGGCTAATTCATTACAGTAATGCTCCTGCACAAGAAAACACTGTTTAAGCAGTAATTTTACCAACCAGCAATCACTCCCCAATCGGGCAGAAGGTTAAGTCTGTGCTGCTTGACAATCCCATACTTGACCAGCTGTGCGGGGGTCATGGGTTGAAATGCTGCAGCCCTGGGGTCACACTCTGTCCCCTCTTCACTGACCACCACCACCATACTCCACTGAGGCACAGCGCTGTCTACAAACACATACTTCCCTGTCTCTGAAAACACATGAGCAAACCTGAGAGCAAGAGAAGAAAGGGAGATAAGAGGAGTTAAAGCACTACAAAATGGAATTTAAAATGATGAATACTGTGTGGACTTTTTCACTACCTCGAAGAGTTGAAGTTTGTCTGCTTCATGAGGATCTGCAGACGTCTGAAGGCGCCAAAGTCCCAGCTGGGGTTACTGTTGAACAGGTGGTCTTTTTGATACACTGGAAAGTGGCTGAGACGGCGGTCTGTGGGATGTAAGTTGGAGCGAGATTATAGTGCTTATATCAAAAACAAGAAAAACTATGTTGATAAAAC